AAGCTAATTTAATAAACCAAGACTTTGTCCCAATGTGAGATCTCACCTTGCATTAGGTAACTTCACATGGTCCTGTTTAAATCACTCTTTTTATTATAGGGATAGGAATTATATTAGAATTGCTATTTTTAGCAATTTGCTCAACGGTGCTGCACATGCTGAGGTGCAAAAAAAATAATATCCGACTTCATTCTCCAAATGGGGCTGATTAAGATTCCTTTTGGTCTGAAAATCAACAGATGTGTTGCCGAACAGTAAATATTAAATTACATGGCACATGGTTGGATTCAATGGAAAAGATTGGGCTGAATCATGTTATGCTTGATTGTAGAAAAAGCAACAGCCAATTGGGTTCATGCTGAACAAATGATATTACGGCTTACTGTAAAGTGTGAACCCAGTCACAATGCCCCATGTTGAAAACTACCTGTTCATAGGCTGAGTTTACAGATAATCCTCAATTTACAACCACAATTGGGACTGGAAATTCTGTTGCTAAGCAAAGCAGCCATTCAGTGAGTTATTTTGCCATGATTGTTAAACAAACCTCTGTGGATATTAAGTGCTAACAACTGTTAAGCAAATCCACTTCCCACAATTAACTTAGCTTGTTGGAAGCCAGCTGGGAAGGTCACAAAGGCAATCACTTGATGCCAGGAAGCTGCAACCATTGTAAATTCATGCTGATTGCCAACCACTCAAATTCTGATCACATGACCTGGAGGATGCTACAACAGTGTTAGGATGGAAGCCACTTTTTCAGTGTCATTATAACTTTGAATGGTTGCTAAATCGATGGTTATAAGTTGAGGACTATCAGTAAATGCACACACATGTGTGGTTACAATCACATAGGTGGATCTATGAGGGGAGAGAATCAGGTGTTGATATGACCATGAAATCAAAGTCTTACACCTTTTTTTTAACCGCCATCTTCATTTTCTGTCCCACTACCCAAAGATGACTTTGGTTAACAAAAAATAATAAGAAAAATAAAATCCTTTGCTCTTGGACATTAGCACATGTGCTCGAGACACACGAATAAGTGGAGGAGGGTGAAAATGAAAGACAGTGCAAAAGAAAAGACTATTTCAATTTCACCTGCCTTGCCACATACCTGCTCCAGAACTTCTAAGCACTAAGAAAACCAGAATACCTAAAATGTGAAGAACTTTTGGTGCAGAAGCAGACAAGCCATTGAAATGCAGATACTGTTTGTCCATGCTGCATTGTTTTCAATTGAATATGCATCTCCTTTTACAGAATCCAAGACTAGTGCAAAGGAATGCAGCTATCTAATTTCCCCAGTTCTTGCCACCAAGAGATACCTTCAACAATGTGCACTTGCCTCTGGTTATATCCATCAAATTATTTCACAAGGCCAAATCAGGATCTATCAGATGATTCCTACAATATGCTAAACTGGTACAGTGTTAAGTTGGTTAGCTTTTTTTGTGGTTTAGTATATTATTCAAGGGCTTTAGCAAGTGACAGGACCTAGCAAACCTTAGTTGGTTTAGAAAGCTAAGCAGGGTTGGTTTTAATTAATATTTGAATGGGGAATCATCTTGAACACTAAGGCTTTTGTAGCATTTGAAGACAACTTTACTATTTTGGATCAAGACATTGTTTGGTTTCATTTATTTCATTTGTGTGCATAAGCGCACTGTTAGGAAGTGCTAGTCACCTAACAGTTGGAAATATATAAACCAGGATAGACATTTAATACTGTCTCTTTAAGGGAATGCTAAAATTGTAATTGAGTGTGGTTCCTCAAAGGGCCATAAGATGGAGCCAGAAACCTGGGTTGTTAGTTTTGTTGTTGCTAGTTGCTATATGTTCTGATGATGGATGTTCTTGGTTCTTGCATTTTTCCCTATTGACTATTCCTGATCGTCATTCTTCTTGGATTGCTGTAAGTCTGTTACTGAACTTAACCGTTTACTGGAATTAAAACCTACATTTTACTATTCAGTGTATCTGTGTGCTGGTCGTGTGTTATTCAACATCTCTCTCACTAAGTCTCCCTATGTGCACTCATTCTCCTAACGGGGAATTACCTCAACCCGCACACTTGTGTCTACTGTCCCTGTCCTATTGTCCCCATTTATTTGTACCTATTTCCTGTATTCATACTCATATTTACCCTTATATCTATTATCTTGTAAACAATTGGCAAATTAATTAAATGAATAAAAATAAATAAACAAAAAATAAATGAAATGGTGTTTTGTAGAAACCCAGCAAATCACTAATTGATGTAAGTATGCTGCATTAACCCAGCTATTGGGACCCTCCTGATGTGGTGTTGAGCAAGCAAGTTGGGTGGGAAACCTGAAAACAGCACATAGGCCAATGCAGACATGCAACTCTTGATTCTCCAACATGGAAGAGTATCAGCGCCTTTTGAATTTGCTTGAGTATCTGGTACAGATCTATCTCAGAAGGTTTTCAGATGTCATTTCTACTTTAAACAAAAATGTCAAATTAACAACAAAGGTTCTAATTCTCACGACAGTTGCAGGGTCTTTTTTGAAAGCTGATTAGAATCTGGTTCCAATTTTCAGGCCTACCTATTGAATAAGGGATCTTCTAGGAGTTCTTGTAAAGCATAAAAACACAAGAGCAGCCCTAGATCAGGCCAGCATCTCATCTACTGTAATATTCTGTGCCATGAAATGCTCATAGCATAGACAAGGAAAGTGATAGCATTCCTTACATAAGGAAAGCTGCCTGTGATTCAGGAAATAGTAAACAGCCATCAATCCTAGTTGCTAATAATTCCCAAAATGAATTGGCTTATGTAATATTACCTCATCAGTTGGGCTTTCAGAAACCGGGATCATGGTGTCATGACTGAGTAACATTTCTAAATGGATTTCCTAATATACAGGAATAACCTGTCTATAGTTAAGATCCCCTAACTTAATTTTCTTTCTTCCTTAAGATCTAGGCCAAGAGCCTTACTGGGTAAGATCAAGATCAGAAAGCAGGACAAGAAGCAATGGATGGAAACTAATCAAGGAGAGAACCAACCTGGAAACAGATCCCTTCCAACTTGGTTATTTTGTTAAGATGGACTGCCACCTCTTCCATCTCACTTTAATGCATATACCTCCGAGGGGAAAACATTAGGCAAGACATGAAAGTGATAATGATGTGCTGGCCATTCATTATCAACACCCAATGTTTTGAGGAAGAGAGATTGCCTTAATGCAGGAATATACTTGATTCATATGGTGTAAGATCCTGATAATTTGATTCAAATATGATGCTAATTATTCAATACTGGGTAGCCAATTACCCCTGTGCAAATTGTTTTGCTGGCTGTTTCCAAACCTGGAAGCTCCGTTTCACGAGTGCAATTAACACAGGCCTCTCTCCATTTCATAAGTGTCCAAACCAGTTTTAAGGCTGTCTAAGCAAATTATCATCACCATAGCTTATGGCAACGTAAAAGGAAGCAGAGCAGGCCAATGTCAACCTATTCAATCTTTTCAATTATCAATCACTGGTTTGCCAGGACATCCAAGCCCTATGTTATCCAGCAGGATCCTCTGGCCCGGCCTTATCTGTCCATGCAATGCCTTGCATAGTGTGCTCAAGTTGCAAATGCTTTCATGTTGAATCAAATGCTCCCTCAGTTATTGAATATTTAAAATGGTCTGTCTGGCTACACACACATACATACACTCCACACACATATACCACCTTTTTGCTCTTGCTAATGGGGAATTGGAACCATGGGCAGTAGAACGTTTAGGAAGATTTGTTAAGCTAGCGGGAATAGCTGAGCGCAGCCTGGTCAGAGTAAGTTGCTCTCCTTCTGATGAAAAAAACATAGTGATGATGCACACCCCCCCACCCCATCTTGAGCTGAAAAAGCAACCCCCTAATGCTGCATTGCATACAAGAGGCTGAGCCTCAGGAAAGCTGATAAATGTGTTCACCACAAGTCATTAATCATGTCCGATACAGAATTGTATTTTTACGGTACTACCATAGGGTCTTTTTCAGCTACAATGTAGTAGGTCCTTTGACAAGAGACCAGAGATAGCAACCTTCTTTCCCTTCCACACATTCTCAATCAGATTTGGAATTAAATTGCTCAATAGCCAGGCCCCGGAGGGGGCATCTTCAAAGAAGAAGTTCCACAAAGTGCTGATCCCCAAAACTAGATGGGGCATTTGGGAGGGGGCGAAATGAAGGAAAAGAACCTCTCTTTGGTCAAGTATTATAAAGTGAATCTTGCTGACAGATTTGCATCTCGAAGAGCCTTTGGAAAAGCTTGGTGGTAGTGGTAGGGGGGTTGTTTTGCCTGGAGGGAAAGAGCTGTTATTACAAAATGCCCTCTCTTTTTTTCCTCCCCCACCCCCCCAGCCCAATCCATCTCTTGCAAGAAAGGCCCACCCGAATGAGGGACAGCACGGGAGCAGGAACTGGCTTCCTTTGCAACCTGCGATGCTGCCTCCCTTCCTTCCCATCCGCTCCGTTCTTCTCTCTCTTCCAGAGCCTCCTGTTTACCATCTGCATCACTGAAACCTCCTCTGACGAGACCACGAATGAATGCCCATCTCCCGTTTCATTCCGTGCCATCTATTTATTTATTTATTTCCTTTTATTTTTAAACGCGAAACACTTTTTTTCCCTTTGGAAAAAAACAAACCAACAAAAAAGAACACCAGCGACGTTCCTTCCACCGCCATACATCCTTCGATTAGAATGACGTTCCCACCGGCCCCTATAAACCAGTAGCCCATCCCGTTTATTTTCTGCATCCCTCCCCCACTTCTCATACATGTGTCAAATGAAGGTTAACAACCTGCCCCCCCCCCTCCTTCTCCGCGCCGCCCTGTTCCAAAGCAATGCCAACCGAATGAAAAAAAAAGAGGCAACGCAGACGAAGGGCTTATCTATCTAGGTTAGAAAAAAAAGATTAAAAACAACAACACGAGAGGTGTGTGGCGGGGGGGGGGGAATTGCACCGGGCGCGCACTCACCCCGTGAACGCGCTTCTGGTCTCCTAGCTAATGCAGCAGCGGCGGTAGTGGCGCGAGGAAACAGCACCTGCCTGCAGATCCCTGGCCAACGTCACCAGCGCTCCGAAGGGGGCGGGGATATGCAGATGAGAGGGTAACGTGACTTCGCGAAGGGCCATCCCCTTTTCCTCCGCGGGCGGGCCCGTGGAGTTGTCGTCCCGGGGATTGGCGGCACGACGGTGATTGATTAGGCTGTAATCCTTTACCTCACGGAGGGATTTGACTTCTGAGGAAGCGTTGCTAAAGCCTTTGAGATTTCCTCTCTCCCCCCGCCCCCCGCCTTCATTCTCTTTTCTCTCTCACGGAAATATATAGGCTATATATATATATATAACCTTTATTTTGCCTCTTTCCCTTTAGAAGGCGCTACTTGGTGATCCTGAGGGGAATTTATTCCCTTAGTTGTCTATGGAGATACTCAGTCATCCAGGTCCTAGTTGTGCCAAAGGTGCTTTTTTCAAGAGGCAACTAGGCTTTCTGGTTTTTCTTAGAAGACGTTTGGCTTCTCATCCAGGAAGCTTCTTCAGCTCGTACATAAGCTGTCCAGTTGCCTTTTGAAAAAGCACCTTTGGGATATTTCCTTAGTTCATTTAGTGGCCGTTCAAAGTTACAACAGCACTGAAAAGAGTGACGGATGACCGTTTTTTCCCACCGTTTACAACGGTGTAACGTTGTAGCACCCCCAGGATCGTGTGATCAAAATTCAGATGCTTGGCAACTGGTTCATACTTACCACCGTTGATGTGGTCCCAAGGTCATGTGATCACATTTTGCAACCTTCCTGACAAGCAAAATCAAAGGGGAAGCCAGATTCACATAACAACCAGGTTAGTAACTTATCGACTGCAGTGAGTCACTTAACAACCGTGGCAAGAAAGGTTGTAAAATGGAGCAAAGCTCACCAAACAAATGTCTCACTTAACAACTGAAATTTTGGGCTCAATTGTGTTCATAAGTCGAGGACTACCTGTGTTTATTTTCTTTATTTACTTATTTATATTTTCCCTTGCATGAAAGGAAGCATTAACACTTTATTATCTGCCATCAGTAAAATAGGTTGTACACCATAGGTATATAACTCCTGGGAATACACAGCAACATGAGAAAGTTCCTGATATTATTACTTCATGTCTTCATCTCGAAAACATGATCCAAATCTTCAAAACACACAAAAATTCTACTGAAAAGCTGATTCCATGAAGCAAGACACAAATATTTGCTGCCCTATTTGCAGCTATAGCTTGTTTTGTAATTTTTGAACATATTAATAATTGTGAATTTTCTGGAACAAAAAACAGCAACGTTATTAATATGAGGAAGTCCTTACAACCATTCACTTAGGGACCATTTGATGTTACAATGGCACTGAACAAAGCAACTTATGGGCATTCTTTTTTATGACTGTTGCAGCATCCCTATGATCAAAATTTGGATGCTTGGCAGTATCCCAGAGTCATGTGATCAACTTTTGGGATCATCTGACAAGCAAAGTCAATGGAGAAACCAGATTCACAACCAAGTTACAAACTTAACAACTGCAGTGATTCACTTAACGTGGCAAGAAAAGTCACAAAATGGAGCAAAACTCATTTAACAAATGTCTCACACAGCAACAAAAATTTTGGGCTCAATTGTAGTTATAAGTCGAAGACTTCCTGTATTCATTTTATATAATACAGTTATTCTAGATTATTCAGTAGCCTTGCAGTGTTATTACAACTGAGATTTTTAAGGTGAAAGATAAAAGCAAGCTTGAATATATCTGCTTATTACAGTGTTTGAAAAGGTGAAACAATATTCAGCAACAGAATAACAAAATAACTGTAGTGTGGGTTGTATAGATTTCATAGGGGCACTAGCTGTAAAACACAAGGTTGGGATTTTTTACCTCAAGATGATTGTTTGCAGGGAAGGGCTGGGGATCATAAAAATGTAGGATTTAACCATTTATCTTTTTTTTTCATTGCATTTTACCCCTTGGAAAGAAAGCTGTTTAATCTGAAGGGGGAACATTTTAGACTGCTTTCTGATACTAGGTTATATGTTTGCTATATTAGAAGGCTGAATATATGTCAGAATTTTCTATCAAAGGACTACAGTCAATAATGACAGCCCTGATTCCAGAATATAATGCCATTGTTAAATTTACTAGACATACAATATGTGGCCTTTAAGACAGGATAAACAGCAGGTCCTTTTGAAAATCAGTGCTGACAGTGCTTCAGTCATAAACAATGATTCTCCATTGGATATCAGTGATAGAATTATTGAGATTTAAAGCTATTAAAACAGGACTGCATTACATTATCCAGATTGCAGTAGCCAGTAGATAGTAAGTAGCAAGGAGTTCCCTGTATCTCTTCATTGTCATTTCCTGATCACATTTTTACACCCCAGAACTGGCATCTCCGCTGTGGCTTTTTCACATGTTTTATGGAAGAATCAAGAAAACCCCTCTAATGTAATCCTCTTGGTTTTCCCAGTGTCATTTCCATCTTTTTCTTACTATTGAAGTGATAATGAAATTCCACTTAAATGAGTATTATATCACAACACTTCTATAACATTATGGGGTATTTTCCATTTATTGTCATTCTACCAATATGTGTGTGTGTCCTTTCAAATAATTGTTGATTCCTGATGATTGCCTGGGTACGCCTGTGCAATTTTCTTGGCAAGATTTCAGAAATGGTTTGTCATTGCCTCCTTCCTAGTGCTGAGATAGGTAATCTCACTGGTTTTGTGCCCAAAGCAGGACTTGGATTCAGAGTGCCCTGGTTTCTAACCTGATGCCTTAACCGCTGCATCAATCTACACCAATAAATTTTAGCAATAAGGGCTAGGATTATAGTGGCAATAAAAATGTTTGAGTTGTTATCATTATTGGAGGTTCAAGAATAAAATTAGAGAGTTTGTTAAGTCTTAGGATTTATCGAGTAGTCTGAACTTTTATATAAACTTACACCAGTTAAATGTGCATGCAAATTATATGGGTTTTTTTTGTCTGAATTGGTGATGTAATTCACTACTCAAAAATATGCATAAAACATATATAAAACATATAAAAAGTGAACACTAAAACATGTTAATGAAAAGAGCACAGACAGATGTATTTTATTATGGAGAAATTATTTACTAACATGCTCACAGTAACAAATGTGTATAAAATGCATATATTATGAGAAAAGTATTTGAAAATGCTAGCAAGTTTTTTTTTTGCTGTTGTGAAAATGGGCCAAGACAATCATGGCCAGGAAAGTGAGAAAAACAAACCAATATAAATAGACATATATACCACTCCATAGCTTTACAGCACTCTGTGGGCAGTTTACAATGTCAGCATATTGCCCCCAACAATTTCAGTCCTCATTTTACCGACCTCGTAAGGATGGAAAGCTAAGTCAACCTTAAACCCTGTCAGGATCGAACTCAAGACTGTGGATAGACTTAACCTGCAATACTGCATTCTAACCACTGCACCCTAGGGCTCCTAATAAAACCCAACCCAGCCCATCCATGTTGTATGCTATCTGTTGTGCTGCTTCTCCAGTAAAATACTGTAACTGACAATCTTTCCATTAAATAACTTTAAAAATGTTTTAAGCATCTAGATACAGAAGACTAGGATCAAAATTTCCCTTCATTTCATGTTTATGTTGTGTTATGAGGAATATGATTATAAAACTTTGAAGTGTTATATTGCTAGGACTTTCATTCATTATTCTGCAAAATTTTGTAATGTCCTGAGCTTAAATTGGTTTAGCTCATCTGCCTCATAAATTACCATCTCTATAAGAATACCAAATTATCCTTAACTACAGTGGGATGGTTAGATCATAGTGAGTGATACATTCAGGAAGTATACAGTATCTCCTAAAATTATAGAAAGTCAACTGCAGTTGACTACAAGTTTACTTGTAAACTTATTTAGAATAGAAGATTTTGGAGTGATATGTGTGAATGCATGCCCAAAGTCTGTGTGTGACCATTAGATGGCAACATAACACCATTTTTAAACTTCTGAATGTTGCTAAAGTGATTTTTTTTTTCAAACTGTTTGATATAACTTTTAAAAAAGAAAGAGTGGGAACACCTCAAACATACTTGTTGTATAATTCCCAAGCTAGTTTGGGGGCACACAGACTAGGGTGTTGGCAAAATACAGGAAACAAATAAGAGATCCACCTTAATTGTTATATGGTGAAAGACCTTCTGCAAGCTCAAATGCATTCCAAAATTGAATCATCACTAAAGTGATTGTAAATCCACTGCTATGACTCTGTTCTTTTACATTCTTTCCTTTTCTTTCACCTTCATAATATCTACTTAAGGAAAAAATATGGCAGAAAAAATGTTTTGTAGAGTTTTGAGTTCATCTGTGGGTCTAAATAAAGGCAAATGTATTGTCCCCATCTAACCTCGTATGTTTGTGTACTGTGAGCTTTGCTAAGTCTTATTTACAATATCTTCCAAAATACAATATCAGAGTTTTATTTGATATCAGATCAAATGCTTGGCCATTTGATTATACAGTACTCCCTTATAATTCCACCATGTAATCTGTGAAAGAAACAAATAGGACTTGGAGGGAAATGTAGTTGGTGGATCACTGTCATGATAAGTCCCCAAGAAGGCAAGAGTATTTTGTGAAACTAGGCAGATGTGTGTGTATAAATCAAGAGCACTGAGGGACATACAAGAGACAAGCAAGCACAGATAAGACATAAGCTTTATGCTTTGGGATTAAATATTTACATTATTTGGGAGTTAGGCTTGTCAGTGATGGATTTGATAGGAGGAAAAAAGGCTTTGGGGAAATAAGCAGTCATTATTGTTTTTCCAGAGTTTCACTCATTTTTGCATAAGTTACTGTGAAATTTTTACATGCTATAACATTCAATCCCCTACCCTTTCAAAATAATTCCTTATGATTTTAGAAAATGTTTGCAAAGAGGAAAACATTACATCCTTTGCAATCCTAAATGATCCTAATTTTCCTGAATCAGTTGGGCTAAATCATGACAGTTCTCATCATACATTTTTGGTTTTTTTGCCTAAACTTTGATTAAGC